CCCTTTGGCCATTCTGAATGTGAATTCGAGTTCCATTTAAATTTTAGCATCTTACGGCCTCTATCTTCAACCAAAAGGGCGCTTTCTTTGGGAAAACTTAAAATGGAACTCATTTTTTCAGAACGGTTATAACTTATTTGAAAGTTGCGGGTATCTTTTGTTCTTCTATATGATATCTTATAGACGGATATATTTCTTTGTTTGGGTGAACTGGTCTATTTTTAATTCGCTCCGTTTTACCACGTTAGGGCCGGGTAGCATTAGAGCGAATTCAAATATTTCCAATTTTTGGTGAGGAAAAAAATTGTCAAAAATTTCGCAAGTTCCAAATTTTGGCAGTGGTCGCATTAAACCAACATTTTGAAACCAAAACGTTCCTGATTGAGATATACGTCATAAGATCTATACTTCTCAATTAACTCTTCGCGGATTTTTCTCCACGCTGCATGTTCTTGACTCTCCGCTCTACAGCAACTCTTGATTTTCGGCCCATTAATTGGACGTGCACTTTGGTTGGGCTTGCGTTTGTGTTGTTGCTTGCGCCACGTGCGATCGAAGAAGATTGTCCCGCTGAAGCCATCTGTTCAAATTGCTGCCAGTAACCGGATCCAGGGTACGAGTCGTAATAATTTGAATAAAAACGCCGCTCATATTCCTCGTTTGCATTGAAATAACTAAAACTCGTCAGATGGACCGGATCAGAAAATGATTTGGTCCCGCCATCGCACGTGCCAAACTGGACTAAAGTTATTTTCTCGCCGTAATTTTATTCAGACATGTTTTAAAAAATATGACTTAAATGGTTCAAAAAAAAAAAAAAGACAAAACAAAATTGTTTGCTCTGCCAAAATTTGGCAGCCTTCGAGGCAGCACTTCGGCTTCTTTGAAGATTGGCGAAATTTTGGCAATCCGAGAAAATTTGGCAAGTTTTTGAAACTGGGGGTCGCACTTATTTTACGCTACTTGTTGACAGAGTTATTACTTCCACAAACAAAATTGGCTCTAGCAAGACCGAGGCCTTAAATATATTTTATTTAATAATTGAAAATGCTGGAGCAGAAACTAATGGTGCCCGGTTCAAACGTCGTACTTCACATGAGCCGAATCGAATGCTAATGTGGGAGAACAAAGGAATTTTTTTTATTTGCATTCGATTCGGCTCATGCGAAGTACGGCGTCTGAACTTGGCCTTATTAGTGATAAGGAAACGTTCTCTTCCATTATGACAGTAGTCAAATGGGTTTGAAAGGTCTGATGGTGTTGTGCGAAAAGTTCGGTGTTTATTTAAGGGTGGAATCCATTTATACAGCAAATAATAGACACTTTTCTTATTTCCTTTGGAAAAACGAATATTTTTAACTTATTCGCTAATTGCTTGAGAACGAAGCTCATTATTGGTCGTGGAAAACATTTTAACTCCCCACGAAGCGCATTGAAGGCTGACAGCTACTTTTGCTCTTCATTCTACGCGATCTGAGTACATGCAATGACGAAGTGTCACCTGCCTAGAAACAGCTGATACGTAATCCCCAGGCCTGCAAGCGTTCTGACGTTTACTCAAAATGCACATATTCTACAGCGAATTTTGACAATCAGTCGTCGACATCAGCATTTCTGAACTTCAGATCAGGAATTGGAATAAGTCGAGCATGAATGCTACCGTGAATTCGAACCCATTGGAGATTTCTACAGAATTCAATCACTCCGTAAGGATTTGTCCCTCGCTCAGCAATGAATTGGCTTTTAAAATATTGAAGTATTTGATATTCATAGTGATTTTTGTGACCAGCACGTGCGGCAACTGCTTCGTCTGCTGGGTGGTTTGGAGACGACTGCGTATGCGGACGGTGATGAATTACTATTTAGTGAATTTAGCCGTGGCCGACTTGGCTTTCACTCTAATATGTATACCGTTTGACTTGCCTGTTCAAGAGAAGGCTTGCGTGTGGCCGTACTTCGTCGCCCTTTGCAAGGCACTGTTTCCATTACAGACCATGTGTGTTAGCGCGTCAATTTTCACGCTGGCTGCGATCGGCTACAGCCGGTATCGAGCTATAGTTCATCCGTTTAAGGTTCAAATGGGACTCGCTGCCGCAAAGAAGTCCATCCTCGTCATCTGGATTGCCTCGTTCATCTTGGTACTGCCGTACGTTCTGGTGCTGAAAGTAAACCCCTCGACTGGCCGCTGCGAGGAAGATTGGCCCGAACCTAAACAAATTTACAGTCGCCTTTACTCGTTTGTGATCTTCTTCATAGACTATGTAATACCTCTACCGATCGTGTTTGGTTCCTACCTTAAAATTTGCTGCGAACTGCGCCAAAACGAGCCGAACACGCCAGACGGGCAGGGGGGTAATCAAGCGCGGGATTCGGAAAAGGTTTTGAGAATGTCCATCGTTATTACCATAGTTTTCGCCCTTTGTGCGTTACCCAATCACATCGTCTGGCTCGTGCTCGACTTCAACGGTAGTAACTGTGCGCAGTGCAATACGTGGGTTATCTTGGCTAATATTTTCATTTTTGCTAATAGTGCAGCTGATCCCATTGTTTACACAATATTCAACGAGAAATATCGGGAGGAGTTTAGAGGTCTTCTAGGATGTCGAAAGCTTGGAGCAAGGACACAAAATGGGAACATTATTGACTTGAACGAGAGAGCGGAAAGAGTGCCATTGTAGGCTTCGAGAATACGGTGGAATCCCGATTTTCGAACTTCCAACTGAAGGAAAACGAAAAGCGGTCTGAAAAATCACAGTTTTCGATTGAGGAGAGGGAAACGAATGTTCGTTCGAAAACACCAGGGTTCGAGACATTGAGATTCCACTGTGCATCGAGACGACGCCAACTGGGTTATATTTTATCATGAAAAAGAAGGTAGCCTTAATGCGCCACTTTCAGTGGAAGATGACGATTTTCACCTTATCTCTAGCTCTAAGGCTCAACGGTGCTTGAAAATTTGTATCGTTTCAAGGAGCAACTTTTCAGCTTATCTGCTCCGACTATTCTTGACATCAACAAAATTATTACTGCAAATTGACGATGTCAAGCTTTACTAAAGAGGGATTAAAATATCTAACGACGCCAAAAAAGAATAATCTTCAATGACTGCTTAAGGGTCAGATTTTTAAAAAAGAAAAAAAAAAAGAACATAGTCTTTGTCAGGTGTACATAATGAAAGCTGTAAGTTAGAGAGCTCTATTTCCGGCTCTATTTGCGAGCTATATTAATTGTCTATTCCATTTTTTATCTTAATTCTCGTAGTTTTTATTATAAACACCTACAAATAACTAAATTCAGCATATCCGCACTGTAACAGAGCTGCCACCGAACGTTGAAACTTGCCTTCGTGCTCGAAATGTATCGCTGTATAGCCTTTAAAATATTTCTTTATTGAAGTTTCGATCCAAGACTGACTGGCGTGCGTTTTTCGCCGAATTAAATATTCACTTAATGGCGAAACTGTTTCGGCGCAGACGATGTCTGAAAGTTGATCTTGACGAAGCAGCTGTTGAAACCTACAGACATGAAAAAGATGTTCTTCCGTTTCGATTACATGCGTAACGATAAATCGGTATAAAAGAAGAAGAAGAAGAAAAACAAGAAGAAAACAAACAAAGGCCAATCGTGAGAATTGTGACTATTTTATTGCGAGTTATAGTTTTTATATTACACTGACCTTCAGTGTGTGATCAGTGTTGTCACTGTCAAACACAACTTAAATAATTCGGTCCGAAAGTAGATTTCGTCTGATTTTTCTTTGACGCGATACTTCCATGTTTGTATTCTATGATTTGTACAAAAGTAGTACAATTATTTGAAGGCTTTTCGATGAACGTGGGTTATGAAAAATGAAATAACTGATCCAATTTACATCTAAATTAAGAGAAACGTTTAAGTTCTCGGACGCATTTACTGAAAATACGAATTTAAATTTTTGCATTCCCTTGTGAAAAGAAAGGAAATATGAATCTTAAAAGGGCGTGGTAAAGATCTCTGGCGTCTTACCTTATACCTTTGTGGGTAACGGTCAAAACAAAGAGTAGCTACTTAATGGTTGTTAAAAAGAGAACCAATAAAAGCAATGTAATAAATTTTAGTCTTTAGATAAAGACATGGCTCTTATCTTCGTGACCTCAATGACGATAAATTCAGAAGTCGTCAAAATTTTAAAAAAAATAAAAGTCATTTTCTTCAGGGGATAAGTCGGAGCCCCTGGAAATAAATCGAACTCGGCTGTCGCTAGATCATTATTCGGCAAGGAACGCCGATTATTTCTTTATCCGGAGTCATCACGTCTTTGTGATCGTGTTTAGAATGAAAAACTCTGAATGTGCCTTAATTAATCTTAATTATACTGATAAAAGAAAAAAAGACTAAATCTATTTTCCTGGAGGCACAAAGCAAAAACAAGGAGGACTCGCCAAATTAAAAATATTAATTGTTAATGCGCGCACATTAACGACTTTCCAGAAGAGCTGAACGGTGTTTATCATGTTTATTGCAATTAATCTTTAGACAAAATGTTCCTGGCTAAGTATTGCTTGGTGTTAATCAACCTTCAGCCAGTGAAAGGAAGGCGTTTGGCAACT